CTGTGCCAGAGCCAGGCAGGGAACTCCGACACCTTGAATCCCAAAATACACCCTTAAGCAAAGGTCCACCCCTCCATGCAGAGGTTTTACAGCAAATGGAACACTAAGCAAAACCATGTGCATCAAAACAAAGAGCTCCAGATAGCTTCTCAGGCTTCTTATACATTAATAGAATGCAGCTGAAATTCATTGCCTCCCAGTATCAATTGCTTGTTTGTGTGCAGAGACTGATACAAGGAGAACTGTTAAAAGACTGAAGAAACATGATCCTGCAGATGCTGCCGGAGAAGAGTGCTGGAAATACTGTCATGTGCTTGCTTTTTCCTCTGCAAATCACACCAGCTGCACATCATCTTGTCTTAAGAAAAGTCACCACATACTTAATAACAATGCTTTCAATAGCTGTCATACTTAGTTCAATGATTTAAGAGTGCTATTTTAGAAAAAAAAATCACCACCCTAACCCTTTGTGTTTTGATTTACAGCTTCAAAATCATGACTTCAGTAAGTTACATTGAGCATCATATTTCCTCACTTCCACCATGTTTAAGAACAAGCCCCTGCAGATAAACTGTTTAGCTTCCACTTCTATTATTAAAAATATATTAAATAGAATGATTTCAAGTGTTCTGTTCTAGGTGACGAATAATATTTCATTACTTCTCAGTGAAGTGAGAAAGCTGACAATGATTTAAGTTCATATTTCAGCAATAAATTGGACTGTCTCTGGAATACATCTGGATGCCCAAACAACTCGGTTATTTATCATACCCCTCACATTACAAATACACTTTAAAAAACACAACTTGCAACCTGATCCTAACTTCTGAGCTAGGAACCCCTTCAACCTCTATAAAAACACTAAAATACTTGTGGTGCACTCAGTGTGACTGTTTGCTCCATTCCAGCTCAGATTTTGGCTAACTTGGCTACTGCTAAGGCCTGATGTGTGCTGGGAGCAGCACCATTCGGTCAAAGCGAGAGCACCAGGCAGGCAGGACTAGTGGCCAGAGAGAGTGGAAGGGCCATTTTGCACCATTACCACCTGCAAATCCCTGTCTCCTGCAGCCAGTACCTGTTGTCTGGCAGTTTCCTCAGAATCTGTTAACTTACAGAAATGGCATAGGCCAAACCTCCACGCTGGAAGGTACAAAACACCACCTCACCCAAAAAACTTTTGAAGCAGATCCAACAGCAGCTGGACTGCTGAGGCTTTCCTGCTTCCCAGTATGACACAGGGGACACCCGCACCATGATGGAAGGATCAGCACACTTCTTTTTTTTCTTTTTTGCTTATAGGTGCCTTATGGGTTATAAGTTATGAAACCTTATGACTTGAATGGTGAATAAGTGAATTCACATGACGATAGACTGGTCTGGGTAAAAGGGGATTGAGCCCCTGCTTGTTGTGTTTGCTTGTTTTAATTCTTAATGGGCTCATGCAATAAAGTTTGTATCAGAGAGTACATTGTCCTGTAAATCTGAGAGATCCAAATGGACCATGACACTTATACTGATTAAATTCAGGGTATTCAGGGTGGGAAAAACTAGTTTTGGAGTCCTAAGACAAGAAGCCAATGTAGTTGGGTTTTTTGGTTTGTGGCTATTCTTCCCCTCTAAGAGCGGATCTCGTGTCAGTGATCTGTCTGTCACAGTTATAAGAATAAATTCAGTGAGAACTTTTATGAGCCAGCCCTACGTCAATTTTCACTTCCTAGACCACATGAAATATACACAACCTATATGCAGTAGACCTCAGGTCACACACTAGAGATATCTAGAGATGTCCTGTTCAGCATGAACACCGGCAGATCACTGCATTCTCCATCATTTTCAGTATCTAGATAGTTTGGAGAGGGAAGGGAAGGGGCAGCCTCATGAAGAACATAGTATACCTCCCCTGCTGGACTATCTGATTGCTGTAAAGGCAATTCAATGAAGCACATTTATCACACCCACCTCCCCCAGACTTAAGACACATACCAACTGCACTGTCAAGAGCTTTATGATCAAGTTCACAGAGCGTTACAGACAAGAATCAAGTGGGAATAAGCAGTAAGCTTTGCTTCTGCAGGCTAAGTTGCAAGCACAATGGAGCCTGAATTTCACATAGAATATTACACATTAATCCAGTATTTTTACTGCTGTTTCATATCACCTGAGTTTGCAGCTTCTTTCTAGACCTCCCCCCCAATAGTTTCTGAATGAACCTCTGTGTTGGGTTTGTGTGTGTGGTGGGGCCCTTTTTGGTAGTGGGGGAAGGGGCCACCTTGTGAGAA